TCGGTGTAAGATTATCTTGCAATTCAAAATAATGGGATACGATGCTCTGTCAGCATTTTCCCCACATTCAGTGGCTTTGCAGGAAATTAATCTTCTATACATTAATGCCATAAAATGAACACAACATCATTTGTATGTCTGTAAGATAAATGGTTTGCAGAACATATGGGCACATTAGGCTAATCTCCTGCAGGAATTTTTATTACATTTGAGGTCTATACTGCAGCTTGGAGAACACGGTGGATTATTCATGTCTTAAGTGTTCGAGCAGAGTAAACTATCCATTTAAAGGTTGTTCTCTGTCTGCTTGCGTTTGTCGACTCAGTGAGCTGTGGTGGTGTTTAGCTGGAAGGGAAACCAGCATATTTTCATCTCACATGATTCAACACATGCTGTCTCCTCTAAGGCCCTCCACAAACAAAATGTGCTGGCCAAATAACATACGCGACCTAATTAGTACACAGTCCCTGGGCTCAGCACTTCCCTCTCAGAGTGAAGTTATGACCAAATACATTTGGCTTGACATGGACCATTCTGTGGCAACAATTGCTCTCAATTAGACCCTTCAACTCTATAGAGATGTAGCAGCTGGAATTAGCATATTGCACCACGGTATGGAAGCGATTAGTGATCAGAATTCAAATGATAAAGCTAATTTGAAAATTCAATTCTTTTTCATTTTCAGAATATGAGTGTATTATTTGACTCGAAAATAAAATGATGATTAATTTATCTAATTTGAATTTTAGTTTTCAACTTCAAAAATGCACATTCTTTGACTAAATTAAAATGAAGAAGAAATTTACATTTGTTTTATCATTTTGAATATTCAGTCATCCAGTTTGCATTTTACTTTTACTCTCTATGTATGCATATTGTATGATATAATTCAAATGAAAACTAAAAGGTCTTTGGCTTTTCGTTTTCAAACTTGCCGTGCTAAAAACTGATCATAATTCAAGCCAACTCCAAAACGAAATGACAAAGTGGACGGCGCAGGAAAGTGACGTCAGACTCCAGCTCCCAGGCAGGAGAACGTAAAATATTTACAGTCTATGAGGCGAGTGGGCAGAACGCGCAGTACGATGGGTATGACAGAATATCTTGATACAGACCACGTTGTGGAAGGTGGAAAGTTTATGTGCAGCAGCAAGAGAACAAAACTAACCACTCAGTGAACAGGTAGCAGAGCTATGCTTGAATAACAATGTTATGCTTGCTGTTTTTATGGCAGCAGGAACACAAACAGATCAAATTTCATGAAGAAACAAACTGAATTTTGAGCTGTAGAAACATCACGGGGAGCAGGCTGGTGGGCAGGATTAACCAGGCTCAGTCTGTCCTCACTATGTGATTACTTTAGTTCATAAGTTTAGTGTTTGGTGAAAGAAAGAGGTCAGAAAAAGAAGCGGTTCACTATTTTCATTTAGCTTTTGAGGAATGACCAGAAATCGTAGTTCCAACATTAATCATCCTTAGTGAGCATGTCCTCTATTCTCAAGGGAACCCGTCTACCTGCATATCTCATCACTGATAAATCATTTAGTTGAACTGTTTTGTCAGGTGATCAGTCTTTAAAATCCACACGAGGGCAGTTCACTTTTTGTCAGTTCAGTGCATACACAAGCAAGTAAGTCACATTTGTTTAACAACAAAGCTTTTTAATCAAATAATGAGACGGTTTATTATCACAAGCAATTAAATCTAGGGGATGCTGAGGGCTCCACTGAGCCTTTCTACAGTCAGCCTGTAATGGATATCCTCCTGTGGTTTTTAGCTCTTTAATTGCCTTCTCACTGGAAATATGTGGCAACAAATAATCAAATTTTAGGATTAAATGGAACATCCAAAAAATATAGACGTAGGCAGGGGGCAATTCTGTAACCTTTGGGGGATGTTTTGTGCATATTTGAGAGGGGAAAAAAATACTAGAGCCACACTGACAGTATATATTGTTACCCAAGTAAAAAGGTTACAAAAACAGGCCAAACCAGGTCTAATATCCCAGTCCAGGGGGAAGAGGGCAGAAAAATGTGTTTTCTTGTTCAGGAGAAAAAACTACCAAGAGTTGGCCTCATTCACCAATATCGATAGATTTGTCTTAAATTTGTTAAAGAACAACCTAAGTCGGTTTCATGATGTGTTCTGCAACAGGGGAATTGTTCACACCTGTGTGCTTAAATTGATAAATGCCATGTCCTTGTAAACTTGAAGCTCATCCATGTTTTTTTCCTAATTAGCACAGATAAACACCCTGAGACTACAGGGATGGGTGCACACTTCACACCAAGAGGCAACCTCCAGGGTTGAAAAATTGAAACCAATGCAGAAGTGCAGAATCTGCAGATCCCCGTTTGGCTGCTTTAGGGTTTGTTGCAGAAGCCCTGAAAGTCACATACACACCCCATTAAAAAATGCATGTTTTTACAGCAGAAATTAACTTGTTTATAGCCTGGTTTACTGCTTATGTCTCTGTCGGCACACACTATACAGTGGGTGAATTTTTAAAAATAATGATCCTGACTTGATGGGCATGGTGTTGCTGTTTGACAGGAGGCTTAAAACCTACCTCAGCTCCAGCTCTTTCAGGGTAATTATGATGAGACAGTATTTCCATCCTGGCGATCACCATCAACAGGCTTCCAAAACTCCCTGCAGTAACAGATGGGTGACGTCACTCAGGCGTCGTCCACTGTTACTTACAGTTTATGCTGAAAAAGTTGCACTGGATAAAAAGAGAGAGAGGGAGATGTCAGGAATGCCCATATTAAAATCTTCAAAATACAGAGTACTGGAAACCAAGTTATAAATATTGAAGTAGCTGTAAAGGGGATGTAGTTCTGCTCAAAATGAAATCCAACAGGCTGACGTAATAATAGGATATTTATACGGTCAGTAATGGATACAAAAAAGAAACTACAAACAGATAAATCAGACTACATCACTAGTTCAGACAGATGATGGGCCTGCATCATGCTTTAATCAGAAAATGATTCACACCAGATAAGTAAAACTAGTTTTATACCTGGGGGGAAAATAACTGGAAACAGCCAAGAGATACTGGCTGTGTCTCATATTTCTTCAAAATGAATGTGACCTGACATTTATTCTGAAAGCTGACACTAAAAAAATAATAATGTAATGGAACATCAGATACATTTGTCCAGGGTTTCTTTTTAAGAAGCTGCTGAAAGAGGTCCACTCCGTCAAGCTGAGTAGTGATAAGACCTAACTCACAATTTAGTTGAGAGTTTCTTGGCCGTGAATCATACTTTGCCCACCAAAAGGCAGCAGCAACCTGAACCTCTCTTATGCCGCCGTCTTTCCCCACAAGTCACTGCTAAGGAGGAGGCTTCTCTCGCAGCTTGACACATTTTCAACTGTCGCATCAATGTTTGAGTGGGCTAAGAAAACATGTTATTGGCTTTAGATGACAAAAGTTGTTCAGGTTTGTGGTTATCTTCTGACAAGGATGTGACTCATTCTCATCATGTGTATTATGGGGATCGTATGCATTCTTTGCACACAAAGGTCTTAAAAGATTACAAGCCTTTTTTATTACAATGGATGTTTTGTCTTTTTTGCACCATTTAAATGTTTACAATTTAGAGATTACTAAAACAAATACTAGCACGACTCATACACTGCAGGGCTCCAATATTCCACAAATTGATTTCATTTGCCCTGCAGTGTGCGAGCGGTCTCTGTCTGTGTTTTAGTGATTTCTTTGCTCGACTCTGCACCATGCCCTCTTTGGGTTTGGATGTGCGCCTTTTATTGATTATTGTACAACTTAGAGATTGCAATAACTAAAAAGTGTTGCACTTTCTCAGCAAACCTCCCACTGAGTTAAAAAAAATAAAAATAAAGAAACACAAAGAAATACCAGAAATTAATCTGAAAGTTAAAATTCTTGTAAGTTTGTTAAATAAATACATCAAAAAGTATATACTTCCTGTCCACTAAACTAAAATCCCTTTGAACTTAGGGTTAGGGTTCCTGCTTAGAGAATGTGAGCTGCATAGAGGTTCAGATGAACTTTTGGCTGAAGTTTTAAAACATCATGAAAATGTTTTTTCTACTGAACTCCACTGAATGTTTTCCTTTGGCTGATTCATTTAAAGTTTAAAGGTTATGAGCTCGTTATTGTCAGAGACTTATTCAGAGACAAACGGTAATATTTATCATCGAAGTATTCACCAGTTATAAAACTGAAAAAACCCTTTAATATTACAGATTTAGTGTTAGTGAAGTTGAAGTTATTTATTTATTTTCAACAATTTCCCTCCCTTAGTTCGATGTCATCACCCACCATAGCATCCAAATGACAACATCTGCTCTCAGAGGTTTGGACATGTTGGTTGCAGATTGTGCTCGTGGAAAAGCCAGAGGAGCTCCTGAACCGCAACAACAGGAAACCTAGTGTTTATAACGCTATTGTATTATTTCAGCTTTTGTTGAAACACTACATAATGACTTTATTCCCAAATCATATAATTTTTTTTGATCAATATTTATTCATTTGCTCCAAAGTCATGCAGCCCAGCTGTAACCATCAGGCTTGTGGCAGAAGTACATTTATCTCCATAAGATATTTTAGCATTACCATTCTATTTCTTGAGTAAAGTAAATATCTTTATGGTCACAAGAAGTCTGTTTTCCTAAGAGTCGGGCTCATATGGATATATCCAGGATTTCAATTCGGTCCAAGAAATTGCTGATTGTATCTTCAAAGTGTCTATAAAATGGTAATATGAGAGTTTTCTGATAAAGGATTATGGGTTTGGGGCCAGGGAGTAAGAGGGAATGGTATATGGTATATTGGGGGGGATGAATAATAGAGTGGTAAAAACCTGATGAGGTATAATTATGCTTTTCCCTTTCCAACAATAAGCAGTATTGTTTTATCTGGCTTGTTAGTACACACTGATGTTCACAGCAAAGTGTGCTTCTGTTTGTGTTGTTGCTGTCACTAATTGTCTTATCCTTTGCTCTGTCAGGTGGCATCCCCTTTGTCCTGACTGGGGAGTTGTTTGAACAGTCCTATCGACCCGCCGCCTTCATGATTGCTGGCACCGTAAACTGGCTGTCCAACTTCGCCGTGGGCCTCCTCTTCCCATTCATTCAAGTGAGTTAGAACGTCTTAAAGCTGTTTGTGTGCACTTTGTATCAGATTTGGGGGGTCAGCTTTTAGAGTTGAGTCAGCTCAGGGCAACAGCATCAGCAGTCGATCAGACAAGTCGATCGGCCGACTGTCAGCGAAACCGAGCTAACACCAGCCGTGAACGGCTCTTCAACCTTTGCTGTCTATTTTAGTGTGTCAGTGGTAATTAACGCCTGCTGCGACCGCCCGGTATATAAGTTTGGAGCAGATTTGTTTTGGCTCATTAGTCAAGAGACCTGTTTTCTGACACTTGTAGTCCTTTCACATAGCATTACCTTATATTTATGCAACCAGGTGTATTTTTGCCTCTGGTAGGGTCACTGATCTTTTCTAATTTACAAGCTTTTCCAAATAAGGGTTTAAATTAATGATCACAGAGTGCCTGACTCAACATGCACTGTTATGTTCCTTTTTTCATCAAGGGGAATATCCATACTAGATGATACAGACAAGTTGTAACAGATTGTCTCTGCTGAAACACAGTGAGATGATAATGGAAAAATTCAACTACTGACTTATGCAGGGAAGCTTCCTTCATGCTGCTCTACTCCTCTCAGCTCCGGTGCATGGTGCTTTAAGGTCAGACCTGACTTTCAATACGAGACATGAAAAAAATAAAAATAAAATCCAGCCTATAAACCAGTGTTATCAAGACCTCGGCTGAACGAGCAATGAGGAACAGCAGCGAAGCCACCAAAGCTGCTTCCACCATGAATTTAAAAAATATATATCAGCAAGGATTGCTGGCACAGTTTTTATTCCTCCAACCCGTGTGAGGTGTACAGCTCATTATTATCCGATATTGGCAATAAAACAAACCTTCAAAGGGTTGAAACATTATCTTTAGCCAGGTCATCATGAGAGGAACACTCACCCTGTGAAATCATTTGATCACAGTTTTAGAATCAGAATCAGGTTTGTTGCTCAGGTTTACACCAAAACAAGGACTTTGTCAAAACAATGAACATAGAAGATCATTTTAGGCTTAAGGGAAACAGTTTTTAATAAGAATGGAGAAATCCACCTTGAGGATGATGATCCATGTTTTTTTAAGGAGTGGAGAATAATAACACTGACTAAGAACAGCCGATTAGTGCCTGAAAGTGAAATACTTTTCCTGGAAACAGCATGGTCCTCTTTCATCTTCTTAAACCCGACTGCTGCTGCAGGGGGCTCCACATTGCTGCCTCCTCTCATTTTACCTCCCCTATTTTACTCCCCCTCTGTACTTTGCCTTCTGTATTTGGCTTTTTTTCCTCTCCTCTTTACTACAGCCTCCATTACGTTCTTCTTTCCTTTTTACGCTCACTGTCGATCACTTCACGTTGACTTGTGAAGTACCCTCCTGGAGTACATTGTGTTCTTTGTAAACTTTTGGAACAGGGGTTTGGTGGCATTAGGCAACATTGCTTTGTTCCATTTTTGAGCACTTGATGGATGTGCCCTGCATTATTTTAGAGGGCACTGCACTTAAAACTAATGCAGTGGGCACAAGTTTTTACTTTTTTAGTGTGTCTCCTAAAAATGTGGACAGAGACAAGTCACTCATGCGCTGTGTCTGAAACCTCCAGTTTACTATAATATGCTCTATAAATTGGTGCAGGGAGAGGAACTTTTGCTTTAACAGCTGCATGATGAGCCCTCAAATTGGATGTATTTTTTTCCTGTTCACAGGGACCCTGCTGATGCATATTATGCATATATAATACATCTCCCTTTTTATTGGTTGGAATCTGAAATCCATTGCCATTGTTTCCTCGTTAAAAGCAATCTCATTACTGGAGGTGAACAAACACAAACACACAGCAGAAATAACACTATTAACTTTTGTTCTCATTGACATTATTACTGTTCGATATACTCCTTGAAATTGTATCTATTTGAAGATTTCAGATGTATAAAATTAGAAAAAAAAACTGCCAAACACTTCAAGTAGCCGACCAAGGCCAACGCAATAACTGTAACTGTATGAAATGATTGCTGAGTTAGTGTTTTCAACACCAAGGTTAACATTGAAAAGATAAAATCCTGCACACCACTCTTGCTCGGCAGCACCAATTGATTAGAAAAAACCACAACGTTTCGTTCCCTCTGAACCTTTGTCAAGTGTGATAAAAAAGAAGTGAAGGAAAAAAAGTGATTCTAATGTTCTCCAATACATGTAGCAGCAGAGGGGATGATGTAGACCCACATTGAGAAGATGTGGGAACTAAGAAACCAAGCGTTACCCCATATAGACTCTCAGAGTGGGGAAAGCCTTTTCTTTATTTGTTATTTTCCTGTGAGAGGAACAAAACACGTAAATCCTGCCCACTGTACGGCCTGTTTCACGGCTACCTACTGTAGGAAAACAATGATGTCCTGACTGGGGAGTTGTTTGAACAGTCCTATTTTCAGTCCACGTTTTTTCTACATTTAAATGTTTAAATATGAATTCAAAAAGGATCACCTTGTTTTTTTTGGATACGGCAAACTCCACAGCACTCCCTAAATCCGACTTGCTGTGACCTGAACATTCCCAACGATGAAGTGAAGACAAGGTGAAAAGAAATGCACACATCACAGCAGTGCTTGATGAGGTTTTCTGCCAACTCACTCTCACTCTGATGCAATTTCTGTCTTTCCTTTAAATCATGTTTATCTCAGTCTGTGTACTGTTTAGTTTTCACTTCATGTGCCCTCTCAAATTAAGTTGATTTCAATCCTTTTTTGTTGTTGGTGTCACTTTGACCCTCTATTACTTTTTCTCTCTGTTTTCTTTTCTTTTTTCCACCAAAGTTAACAGACTGATGTAAGGTTTGCCACACTTCACTCTGCAGATTGATACGATAATAGATAAGCCCTCTAGAGTCTCTGATCAGAGCTGCATCTGTGAAGGTCTGTTTTTTTTAGTGCAGCAGTCACAGAAACAAGCAGCTATTTAATACAGTAATAGTTTATTAAGAGTAGAAAATAATTTGCCTGCTGTTACACTCATTATAAACATGGTCCACTTAGTGCACCAAGTGTGGATTATTTTGTTCCCATCATGCCTGTATGTGGCTTGGTATAGCTTCCTGATTTAGCCCCTCACATCCAAGGCCAGAGGGTTAACCATTGGGTAAGGATGTTAAATTCTTCTGTGTGCCTTGAATACAAACTGTGTCCCTCTGGAAGTGTTCGGGGGGATATCAGGCTGGGAGGCTGAGACATACAGCAGTGTGGGCAGTGAAGGTTCATTTGTGAAGAAAATGTATCCACAGTGGCCTGCAGGTACATTATCTCTGCCAAACCTGGCTGACAGCATGCAGGTTCAGATGCTTTGCTCAGGACTTGGGGTCTGCCTCTGTGTGTTTGGCTCTTGGGAGCCAAGCTCTGTGCAGTGACATGAAATGTGTGTGCTGTCCCACAAAGCCAGCGTGCAAGCTCTACATGGAGAGTAATGTAAGGGGGGTGAAGGGACTCATTATTATTCATTTTCTTCCTGCAAGCCTTGGAAAGGTTAAATCAGATTTAAATTATTTGACACAAAAAAAAACCTTTGCAATCTGGATGGAAGTCTAACTGGATACATGCAATTTGCAGCCCAATCACGCCGCCACTAGTGTCATTGTTTGCCTTTTAAATTACTCGGAGGCAGTATGGTGCATGATAAGCAGCTCATTTGTGTTTTTCTGTTATATTTCTGCCAACATTCTCGCATTAGCAGATTCTGCATTGTACTTTCCACAATAGAATCTTGTTTACAGTAACCTGCAATAAAAATCAGTTCATAAAGCGGATAAATGAATTTGGGTGGAAGATAGGCTTATAACAACCAGCATCTTCAAAAACAAAATGTAACTGTTTAAAAACACTGATATCAACACCTACAGTTCTATTTTTCTTGCAAGCACACCCTCAACAAGATCCAGGTACAGCATTGACTTCAATGTGACTGGTTTCATTGCAGCTGTGTGGCAGACGACAGCTTTCAACAGGGTCACAGGTGTCTGGATTTATTGTAGAGAAAGTGCACGCCAAATGAGCACTCTGGAGCTGGATATTCCCAGGAGGTTCCATCCATAGAATTGGATGCAGAGCTCCCATTTGTTTCCCAATCACTGAGTACCAGAGTGAAAACCATTTAGCTTGCTGGGTGAGATTGCTCACCATTACTCCAAATTGACAAAATGTTCCTATAAGGACATTTTTTATTTTCATTAATAATTCAGACTTTTTAAAAGGCCACAATTTTACTTCTCCACTTCCCACAACGTTGCAATTTAACATCCTGTAATAGTGTTATTCAGTTGCAAAAATCAATACAAATTAATATTTAACAGCTGCTGCTTATAATAAATACAGTACGGTGCACAATGGGGAAGAAACAATTGGGAGTTTTAGATGAAAGGACAAACATGTAGGCTAGCACTGTAAGTATTTTTGTTAATGCCATGTATCAAACAGGAATCAGAGCATGTACATAGAGCTGAACAATTCACATTAAATATGACGCCCTGTGCTACTTGTTGGTATTACTGATTATTTATTTATTTTACAGGGATTTATTTCAATGGAATATAAAGAAGTCAAGAAACGGGTCTACACTTGGACTTCATATGATCAAAATGGCTGGGCTGTAGTGAAAAGCTTACATTGTCAACAGAGGACAAAAACACTAACATCATTCAGTTTATGATCCACCATGTGCAAAACCCTGAGCAAAAATTCTTGCAGAATTTTAAAGGCCTGTTTGTAACCCATATAGGGACGCCAACATGGCTGGTTAGAAATTTAGATACACAATACGGAAAAAAAGTACTCACAAATATATTGAAGGTCATTGTCGACAACACAGTATTAACACAACAACAAAACAGGGTTGTTTCTCTGACCGATACAGACGTTGGATGATCAGGACCCTCATAAATGTTCATTAAGAAATTAACAGTTTCATAAAAATACCAGCATAAATAACATTTGTATTCCAACACAAATGCCCT